ATTCCCGGGACCCCCGGGCTCAACGGAGAGGACGGCGTGGAGCAGACGGCCATCAGGGTGTCGCTCAAGTGTCCCATCACTTTTAGGCGCATACAACTGCCAGCCAGAGGACACGACTGCAGACACGTACAGGTACGTGCATGTGTGTGCGTGCGCATTGCGATTTGTCATCTTCACTAAAGCCACTTCTGCGTTTTGAGCTGGAATTTATGTCGTTCATGTGCCTGTGAGTATGAATGAATTGCACATAAGACGAGGCGATTTTCGTTCACAAAAATTTAAGCCGTAGAGCCACTTTACATTTATTTATATTTACAACCCCGTTGTGAAAATTCTCTTTTATGCTCTAAAGCCACTTCCTGTGCGCAGTGTTTTGACCTGGAGTCGTACCTGCAGCTCAACTGCGAGAGAGGAACATGGAGGTGTCCCGTGTGCAAGTATGCCCAGAAACACACATGCACGGGCTCCTCATGTCGCCATGGTAACATTCCTCTCGAACCTGTGTGTGCCCGCGCAGTAAAACTGCTCTGCTGGAGGGTCTGGAAGTGGATCAGTACATGCTGGGAATTCTCATCTACGTTCAGAAGTGAGCGGCTCGTGCGGCGCGTACGACAGTCGCGTGTGTTACCCTGACGTCACGTGGCGCTCATGTGACAAGCTTGACAGCCAAGCGACCGTCGCGTGACGGTCGTCAAGCTCCGTTGACAGTCTTGACGTTGTCACGTGACGCGCACGTGGCAGTCACGTGACGATCGCTATATGAACGATGCGACTGTGATGCACATGCGACGCCGATATGGCGGTCACGTTGTGCTCAGGTGACGTTTGTGACAGCCATGTTGTGCTCATGTGACCTTCATAAAGCTCAATTGACCATCACGTGACACTCGGGACAGTCCTGCGACACGCACAGGCACAAGCGTGACATTCACGTGCGGTTTGTGTGCGTTCAGTTCGGAGTACGAGGAGATCACCATCGACCCGGTGTGCAGCTGGAAGCCGGTTCCGGTCAAGCCGGACGTCCACATCAAGGAGGAGTCGGACGGCCCGGCGCTCAAGCGCTGTCGTACCCTCAGCCCGAGTCACATGGTGCTGCCCAGCGTCATGGAGATGATCGCCTCCCTAGGCCCCGCCCCTCCCTCCGCATCCTCGTCCTCGCCCGCACGGTACCCCGCCCTGGCGCCGGCGGCGACGGCGGGCGCACGCAGCAACACGCCCGACTACTCTGTGGCAGGTGCGCACGGAACGCCCAACGCTTTGGCAATTTCTTCACGGAAAAGCTTGAGAGTCCTTGATGTTGTGCCTCGAGCAGGCTTGGAATAGTTTCAGATGTTTCTTCTTTTTTTTTTTTTTTTTAAATGGAATTTTAATTTGTTTTTAGAGGCAAGTTTGTTGGTTTTCATTAGGCAAAATGTGGAGAGTGGAAAATCTGTGTGCGCATGCAGGCGAGTGCATGCAGGTCTGATTGTGTGTGCATGTGCGAGAGCGGGAGCGTTAGCGTGCGTTAGCCTGCATGCACTCGTGTTTGGGTGCGTTTTTTCCCAAATGAGAGCTGTGAAATGAGTCGTTTGTTTTGAGGGATGAGCGTAGCCGCGTAGCAACTTGGACTCGTATCTCAAGGCGAGAAGAATGAAGCGGACTGACGTGTGCGTATTTCAGCTCCGTCGTATCCTAGCCAGACGCCGTTCTCGGACGTGAGCGCGAGTCCCGTGACCCCGGGGACGGTCGGGGGGGACTTCTCGTCACCCGACCCGCCCCCACTCTCCTACCGTTCCGAACTGTCCGGCGCCCTCCTGGCGGGCGACAAGCCACCGCCGCCGGCGGCGCAGGTACCGCCGTCGTCGTTGCGCGAGCGTTGACAAGACGTCAACACTCGCTTCCTTTCCGTTTCTTCTTTCTTGTATTTTATTTTGTTGTTTACCCATCCTTCCGCTTTGCTTTTTTGTCCTTTTCCTATTCTTCCTTTCCTTCCTTCGTTTGGTTGCTTACGGACCTCCTTCCTCCCTTGCTTGTCTTTTTTCCTTCATTCCATCTTTTTCCTTGCTTTCCTTGCTTCGGACTTGCTCCCTTTCCTTCCTAACCTTTTTTTATTTTCTTTTGTGCCTCCCTTTCCTCCCTTGTTTCTTCCCCTCTGTTCCTTCCTGCTTGCTTGTTCCCTTCTGTCTATTCATTTCCTTCCCTTTTCTGCCTTTTTCCTTCCTTCACCTTTATTCTTTTGTTCCCTTTCCTTCACTGCCTTCCTTTTCTTGCTCCTTTACCTTCCTTTTCCCCCCTTTCTCCTTTACTTATCTTCCTTCCTTCTCTGGCTTTGCTAACCGAGCTTTCGCTCCTTCCTTGTCTACTTTACGCTTGTCCTTCTCAGCCTCCTCCTTCCTTTGCTTCCTTCTTTTGCTTACGTTCTGCCCTTTTTTTCCTTCCCTTTCTAGCTGAATTGCTTTCTTCATCCTTTTTCTCTCCCTCACCCCCTTTCCTTCACTCTTTGCTTAACGGCTTGCTTCCTTCCGCCAGATGTCCGCTCCCCACGGCATTCCCCATCCTCAGCAGCCGTCTGTCGGTCTCCACGGCAACCCCCAGGTGGGCGGGGCCGCCAACCCCATGCTGCAGCAGCGTAGCAACCACAACGCTTGTCTCCATGGTGACGCCTTCAACCTCGGCCCCGGCGCAGACGTTCCGGAAGCTTCTCTCGATGTGAGCCAACTGAGTTCATGGCGTGCGTGTGTCAGGGCTGCAGTAGTTTGGGGGCGGGGGGTGGAGGGGGGGCAGTCCACTTGGTTGTTTTGTTTTCACGTTGGCTTTTGACTCTGTTGGTTTTAATTTGTTTTTAGAGCCGATTTGTTAGTTTTCGGGGGGGAGGCAAGTTTTGTTTTCGATTAGTTTTACTATTGGGTTGTTGAAGAGAAACAGAAAATTTGTCAAGTGCAAGATAATTTTTTTTTTTAATCACCATTCCATAATAAAGTAAACTACAATTCTCTCTTGTTTGGATGCACAGCATTACCGAATTCAGATGTTTGTTTGTGTTGTCATAGTAACGTGTGTGTGTGTTTTGTTTTTTGTTTCAGCTGCTTCAGGAGCTGAGCAACCCAGACGAGCTGCTGTCGTACCTGGGCCCACCGGACCTCCCCAGCGGTGGCAACAACAACAACGACGACCTGCTGTCTCTCTTTGAGAACAACTGAGCGGACTCGACCATTCCTCTTTGCTCTCGCTCAACTTTTTACACTGGTGTCATTTTGTTGTCTTTCAACAATCAAGTCCCCCCTGCTCCCTACTTTTTTTTTTTTAATCATTTTTCAGGTCCCTAAAGGGCCATGTGTTGGTGAACGGATTTCCTCGTGCCCATTTTGTTTTCCCACTTTGGAAAAGCCAAAGTTGACCCTCTAACCAAAATACGAGAAATTCAAGCAGATGACTCACTGTTTTTTTTTCTCTCTCTCCTCCACTTTTTGATGTTCTGCTGTCAGCGGATGCAGCAGCCTCCCGATGAACAGGAAGTGGCAAAAACTGTCAAGAGTGACTTCCTGCTTCGCAGCCTTCAATTAGACTTTGGCTGGGACTCACGCAACCAATCGGGGGGGTTGATCAGACCCGGTGTCTCGTCATCAGGACTTGTAGACGTAGTTGGTGACTTTCCATCCTGTCGTCAGTGACCCCACTTCCTGTCCGTGACGTGGACGGCTGACAGACCCAAGAAAATAAAACGGGATTCCTCCATCTTGCAATAATCACAGGCAAAATGAAACCAAAAACATCTTGTCATGACCGTGTAGGGCTGGGCGATACAGCTGGAAAATGTATTCATGATATAAGTATTTAAAAATTGTTTATATCGATTTTTTATTTTATTTTTTTTTTACCAAATGAAAATAAGAAAAAAAGTATTCAGTGTCTTAAAGGTAAACTACAATAATACCATTCAAAATATCTGGTAGAAATAAAATAATTTTCGAGGATTGGACACCAAAAAAAAAAAACCAAAACATTTTTTGTGAACCCCAAACATGCTTTTGTCCTCCAAATTTGCGCTTAACTGTTTGTTACTATCGCCCAGGCCGATGATGAGTTCGCATTTCTTGGTTATCGGTTCACATTTGCGCATTGTTGACTGCATTCCAAAAACGGGTTCGTGCAACTGAACAAATATGTCGTTTAAACCATAATCAACTTTACTTTTTATCTGGACCTAATTCGTTCCTTCCTCCTCCGCTGCTTCCTTGGATATACTTCGTCCTTTAATCATATTAAGAACTGCAAAATCAAACCAATAAGTGACTGTGATGATGTTGGTTTTGGGTTCCAAGCCACCGCGGGCCGCGTTGTATTTCTTGCATCTTTTCAATTTTCTGATCAGCTCTTTTGTCGCAATGATGACTGTGAATAAAGGGAAATGACTTTTACGAAAGCCCACGTCGACCTTTCGGGACAGTCGCTGGAAACGTTTGGTTTCACTCATTGTTGACCACCTCTCATCGGGTATTGGCCCGCTCTCGATCAACATAGCTACCCCTGGGCTAAAGCAATCTTTGACTTGGCTTATTTTTTTTCGCTGTGCAAATGACCGCGCCCTGTGCGCGTGAGCGCGCATTCTTCTCCTTCTCATCTCCCGCCCCTCGCTACAACAGGAGCGCGCTCAGACTGCGGGTGGTGACGTTTGTCCATCTCGCACTGCCCACGATTGGCCACGCGGGGTGTCCGTCACGCGTGAGGCGCTTTGCTTTGAACTTCAAGACTTGTCGTTTGATAGCAGGGCGGGGCGACCTTTTTAGAGCACGCCCCCGTCTTGCAGACTGCACCCTGTGGGAAACTCTTCTCTCAATTGGCCCATACTGTCAACGCACCAAACGCAGTACAAATGTGAGCTTGGCCAATCAGAAAGCGTGACTCCGCGAGCGGTTTAGTCTTCTACCTGCTGATTGGCCGCAGTCTGCACCAGTCACGCGCGTCGACGCTCGCCAATGGCCCGATTGAATTATCACCGCCTACTGTCTTTTATATAAAGTTTCTGGACAGTCGGCCATCTTTCTCGGTTCATTGTCATTCATCGCGGTTCGTTGGTCGTCGAAAAATCTTCTTGCCTTCTTCTCGGAAGCGAAGCAGCGGCAGACATGGCCAAACCAAGAGTGTTCTTCGACATCACCTCCGACGGTGCGGCTATTGGCCGCGTCGTGATGGAGGTACGTTCGCCCACTTTTAGGCGCGGGGTGAGGCGAGGCGTTAGCACGCGCTTCCTTTGTGCGGGCTCTGGAGCTAATCGCCGATGGGCGAACGCGGGGCCCCGGGCGACCTTTGAGACGGGCGAGAAACCGTCTGGAGGCCAGCACGGCGGCGTGCGGTCGGCCGTCGCGTCGCCGCCAGCATCCCTGACGGCTTAGTTTGAGTGTTAGCAACGTTAGCCTGGTGCGCTAAGCTCGATGAGTCATGCGCCAGGCTAACGTGCTAATGCGGCGTGTTGCGCGTGCCTTCGGCTTCATTGAGCGGGCTTCCAGTTGTCGCCGGACGTCAGTGTTCCCGCCGTGTTGGATGTGTTTTTTCTGGCCCGTAATTGGACTGACCACTATAAAATGGCTACCCGAAAACGTGACCAAACTTTATGATGTAGTAAGGCATTGCGAAATTGCTGATGTCAAGTTGATATCAATCGCTGCATTTGGTGGATCTCTGTTAAACAAATTACTGTATGGGAACTGTAAATGTGTCTATTTCGGGACCAGCTAGGCATAAGAAGATACATATGAAACTTTAACATGTTTTTTTAACGTGTGCTCTCATTTTTTTGCGTTTATCAACAGGGTAACAACCTAGCATACATTGATAGCTCTAGACACTAAGATAAGAAAACCTTTATTAGTCTCGCAATGGAGAAATTCCAGACTTCATATTTAGAAAATTCAAATGACTACTAGCCATCTACTGCATATTCTGACACACTTGCAATCGGTTTAAAAAGGCATATTTTGTTTTTGCTACTGGTTTCCAAATATAGTCGTAAATTCAATCACAGCAGCAATACTCGCACACATGCATGCAGACAACCTACTCATTTGCTCACTAATATATTTGGCGAAACGGATGGGCACCAACAACTTTTATTTGAACTCAAAATTAGTACAATTTAGTTATAGTGAAAACACTTTGGAGGTAGGAGTTAAGTATAATAGCGTTATTGGATTTGGTTCATCCCGTGAAAATTCACATGAAGAATTTGCTACACAAATGCAATGTAGAGGAGGGGTTTTAGAGTAAATATGCAACAGAAAACAATTTACTTGTATACGGGATATGAAATTTTAAGATGTGACGAGCTTCAAGGTCTGCAAATTGAAGTCGCAAAATGTTATGACTCTTTCACGTCCAACATGTCCGCAACGTCGACGTACGCTTGGTATTTGCACCAGGGCTCGGTGTGGATTTTTTTTTTCCCCCCTTTGGATCCGGTTTCCCGCCCTCGCCCGCTGGCGGCTAATGCTAACGTAGCAACGCTGTGATCGCGCACGCACGCAGTCTTGTTGGCCGCCCGCCCGCTCTGCTTCTGCTAAGGGGGGCCGCTGAAATACGGTAAGTCCTGTCCATGCAGGCGGCCAGGAGCTTGTTTTGCACTGGTGACTTGGGATCTTTATGGCTCCGCCTGCGCCACTCGGCGGGCGGGACTGCGACACTTGTGCCTTCTGGAAACTTCCATGGGGGGGGGGGGCGATAGCTTCCCTTTGTACCCGCGTGACCCAAGTCCTAACGCGCTTATAAACGCTCCTTTGGGGTTTTCGGGCTAAATGCGAACTTTGTGCGTTTTGTTTCGGGATGCAATGTCGAAGCCCAGAAATAATAAGAGATTTAAAAAACATTTTTTTTTAATGCCATGTGGTAAGCATGAACACACTTCCTGTCCTCTTTCAGGCAGAGATTGGTTTTGCATTTTCTTGTGTTGGGGGGGGGGGTCCTGTGCTTTTGCTTTTGCCTCGGGAAGAGTTTGTGGAGCATAGCTCTTCTCACATGTTGAGGGACTCTCTAGTGGTCAATCGAATCGCCACTTCTTTGGTGCTGGTTGTAATGGTGGAAGGTGGCGGCTTGTCCACCATGATTTTGGCTTTTTCTGCTCAAGAGAGTAGGGAACAGCCAAATGAGGCTAGCACCATGCTGATTTTTTTTTTCCTCTAGGTTGCTTTGGTGCAGGGACAGAGATTTGCTGAGTGCCACTATGGACCCAAATGTAAACGTCCTAACTTATGGCTTTGAAGCGTGCATTTGTACAGGGTGGACAACACATCCAGAAGATCCATACCACACTTGAGTCCGTTGCAGGTCTCCACGATGGATGGGTGTTCTTTGGCCTTCGGCCCAAACTGCTAGAATTCTTCAGTGTCGGCGCCTTCCACAGAGTATTCGGGAGACGTCGGCCTTTATTCGCCCGTACTGCTTCCTTTTCAGATTTTTCTTGTCTTCTTATGTGCCTGTCGTACTTTTGGACACCTTCACTTTTGACTTTGCTTCTTCCACACTTTGGCTGTCTTTGGACCGCTCAGGCATCTTGACTTTGTTGCTCCTGTTCGGGCTTTCACCGGGTGTCCAGTCATTGTCGAACACTTCCATCAACTCCAGTCACTTGAATTGCCATCAAAAGTGGTACCCCAAAAAAATAAATTACAACTTGCTTGTACTGATTCAGTGTTGAATTGTTTGTATTCAAAAACTCATTGGATATTCTTTGGGCGAATCAGCAAGCCCTCGTCCTTGTCATGAAATGTATCCACTACCTTATTATACATTTTTATTTGTACATTATAGAGCGTGAGGTTTAATAGGATTTCGTTCAATGTCTCCGATGTGTGGCTACTCCCAAGATATTTAGTGTTTTTCGGACCATAAGTTGCACTCAAAATCCCCTCCCCCGTCAAAAATCAACAGTGCGCTTAACAGTCGGGTGTGCCTTTGTTTGGATATTAAAGTTTGCCTTATTTGCTGTACTGGCTTGTTTCCCTTAATGTGCTGAAAATGCACCTTCAAACCCAGTGCGTCATGTATGAACAATTCCAAAAGCTGACCTGGCATTTGAGACTCTGCCTAATAATTTGGTGTCACTTTTATAGTCCAGGAAATACACGGTGAGCGTAGATTGTAACATAAATCGTTTAGTTGTGGGTCTTATTTCTTTTTTATGTACCGGTCGCTGCATTTTATTTACATATTTACAGTAAAGTATTAAAAGTGATGGCTGGATTTTTATAAATTATAGAATATGCGTAAAGTTGAGGTTGTAAGGGTACAACTACAATAAAAATAGTTATTTAAATTTGTCACATTTTATCCTTATGTGAAGAATAATCTGATTGGTGGCAGCCCATCAAAAACAAAAAATAGTTATTTAAATTTGTCACATTTTATCCTTCTATGATAAATAGAATAAATATGAAGAATAATCTGATTGGTGGCAGCCCACTTCGTGGTTTTTGAATCCCTAAAACTGATGAGAGGAATGTCGAAATTTTGTCATTGCCCCTTTATATATGCAGGCTTTTTCTCAAATTTTGAATTTTGTCCAGATGCAGGTTGGCGCTCAGTGTATTCGGATGATCTAGTTTGTGCTATCAAGTTCTCCCGTTTTGCTTTGGGACTGGAATTGCCATTTGTCAATAATTGCAGCTCCTTTTCATTGACAAAATGGCTGCAAAGTGTTCGCAGTTGGCCAGTGACATCCGGAATCACACGTTTTTGGACTTAAAAATGGCAGTTAGGGAAGCCCCACAAAAACATCGCTTTTGACTCTTTGGGGGGGGGGTAACAGTCGAAGAGTTTTTTTTTTTTTTTTTTTTTAAACAATGCTTTTGTTTTCAGCTGCGAGCTGACGTGGTTCCCAAGACCGCAGAGAACTTCCGCGCCTTGTGCACCGGTGAGAAGGGTTTTGGCTACAAGGGTAGCACCTTCCACCGTGTCATCCCTGACTTCATGTGCCAGGTGAGTGAGCAGATTCTTTACCGGGTACCGCGTCAAATGTTTCTCGAGTGCAAGGCACCAAGATCAAAGTGCAGAAGAGACGAGTGAAAAGTGGCATCTTTGAATGTTGAACCGAAGACCGGAAAAGTGGTTTGACGCGATGATTTAGGAGAAAGCTCGATAGGTTGTGTGGAAAGGCAGTCATGGCTCGATGCTTCTGTGCCGCTTGCGCCGACAGGGCGGGGACTTCACCAACCACAATGGAACCGGAGGAAAGTCCATCTACGGGAACAAGTTTGCCGACGAGAACTTCACCCTGAAGCACTTGGGACCCGGGACCTTGTCCATGGCCAACGCTGGACCAAACACCAACGGCTCGCAGTTCTTCATCTGCACCGCCAAGACCACCTGGTGATAATAACCGTCCACTTGTCAATCAAATGTGTTTTTTGGGGGGGGAATCTCAAAAGCTCTTATGCGTATAGTACCAATTAATAAGGTTGGTTGCATTTTGTTATCAAACCTACTTGTTTTAGATATTTAAAATCTAAACTGCTGGAAGGACAATGCTAGGGTCCAATAAGGGTGGGAATTTAAACGCTTTCCCAGGGGCAAAGCCTGATGTGAGTGCGCATGCGTGTTTGGTCGCCCTCAGGCTGGACGGCAAGCACGTGGTCTTCGGCACTGTGGTGGAGGGCATGGACGTGGTCAAGAAAATGGAGGCCAAAGGTTGCGGCAGCGGCAAGACCTCGTCCAAGTTGGTCATCCAGGACTGCGGCCAGCTCTGAGCGCACCACAGTCTACCTGTCGCATATTGGGGACCCCCTCTCTCCCCAAACCCTTTCCTCCAGCCTGTCATTCATTCCACGTTCCAGCTAATCTTGGAACAACTCATTTCCATTTCTGTTTTTGTAACAATTCGAAACCTGTCGCTGCATTTGTGACTTTGCCTCTGAACGTTTGGTTTGCATTTAACAATCTGGTCCAAAACGGTTTTCTTTCATCGACAAGTAAATAAAAGATGGCCTTGGTGACTCAACTGTTGCTCTAATCAATATGCACTCTGCGTTCAGGAATTATGATTCAGCGCAAGTCGGTATAGTCTAGTTTGAGATAACCGTAATTCACGGGTGATTGTTGTCGGCTGAATAGCGCAAAGCAGTTGCAGATATCTTGGAATTTCATTTTCATTAGAAGCTAACTTAAGATGTCTCCACATGTCGTTAGGCTTCCCGATGCGAGTCAGTTTGACATGTTCAGCCAAGGCTTCCTATACACGGCTGACATCTTGTGGCGGAATTGGGAACGTTTCAAGAGGACGACACGGTTGTATCTTAGATCAACATAAAAACAATCTCCATTTTCAACAATTTCATCCCTGACTGTTTTTTTTATGTTACAAATTGAGTGATACATTGACCTAGGAATGCTTATCGTCCATATTCAACTAAAACACTCACCAGGAACGTTATCTTCTAAGCGCTTCTCTCGCCTTTGCAAAAAAAAAAAAAATGATTGCCACAGGATTCAACTCCACTACCTTATACAGGTAGAGGTTCAGGGACCAGCTTTCGTTTATCTAGAGCCGTTTCTCATTCGACACGCATGAAAAAGTGCTGGAAAGTTCTCTCCTTCGCGAACGAAAGTCATCGTTCCCAGCGCTGCGGCGCGTTCAAGGTACATCGGAAACAGCAGCATCCCTAAAAAACATCACCTTAACAAAAACTAACAAAATAACGGCCTTAAAAAGTTTGGGTTGCACGTGTTTCAATTGTGAATGTATTATGTTGCGCGCTTGTTTTGGTGAATGAGTTCATCTTGAAATCGCGTACAAAGCCACCCCGAATACAAAAAGTGATTTGGCGCCATCTTGGAGCTTGAAAAAACAAGTCGAAGAAATGTATGGTCAAGTCGTTGTCTTCCTCTGTTCTTTTATGTAGCTTGTGATGTGCCATTGTTCATGTGTTAGCGCACGTTTTCAAACTGAGGAGGGTGTCAGGTGACAATCACCGCCGCCGCTACAAATAGCACGGTGACGTGCGCTCAGACACAAACACACACAGAGTGAGATCGCAGGTCGAAGAGCAGCAAAACGTCAGAGGTAAGAAATATGGGATTTATCTTCCTCCTCTTCTTGCCCCACCCATTCCAACCTTGTGTTCTTCCTCTAGTTACACTTTTGGGTCCTGGCAAGATGAAGTGCGGGGCGGTCGCTCCGTGTGACGTGTCGTCGTTGCTCAGCGTTTGGGAATCGCGAGTCAGGAAGCATCGACAACATCAGAAGAAAGAGCAGGAAAGAAAGGAGAGGAGCGCCCTCCACAAGTGAGACAATTGGCCACAGTCGCCGTTGTTCACGATCGCCGAGTCACCACAAGTATGGAGTAAAGAACGTCGAGTCTCACTCATGCCGATGTCCAACTACACGATTGGAGCCCGATTTTGAGGCAACGGACAATTTTGAGTCGTCTTGACACGCCGTAGCCCGACTCAACGATCGGTCGTGAGGCGTCAGGGACACAACGACCAAAGTCTTAACTTGTCCGAAGAATTTTTGTCCCTCTTGCCGCACAGTGTGACAAATCCTACGCCGTCCTTCGATCGGTTCTTCCCCATTGACCGATCGGAAGACAGCAGGAAGGCATCCTGCTTATGAAAAGAGACTGGGCGTAGTATCCACGAGCCAACAAACAAAAAATGACTTGAACAAAAGGAGAAATATTGTAAAGTATACATAGCGTTTCAATTCATCGTATGCTTGCTAACTGCAAAGCTAGTACCCGATTAGCAAACGATGTGTTATTGAACAAATTGGTTACCCCAAGTTCTTTTTGGAGAATAGAAACTCCATAATGCCCTCTCCTCACCATCCAGGAAATAATTTTTATTAATATATGTATTTTTTTGCCTCGACGTGACTTTGACAGCTGCTTGTCTTGCCTTCCTGATGAACCTGTGCCAATGGACTGAATCTTGATTGGAATCACGTTACAATTGGGCCGGTCCGGTCGGTGACGGACTTATTGCGTGACATCTCGCCCAGTCCAAGACAGAACGAATTTTTTTTCTGGTAGTCCGAAAGCAGCGTGACCGTGGTGAACCACAAGACTCGTGTGGTTTGAACAGACCATAACACATTTTCTTAACATGCAACCGGAGAAAGTTTGAAAGTTCACGCAAGCGTCTTGTTTTACTTTTGCGAATGCTATTTAAAGATCACCCAGGTCAACGTGTGTGTCTGTGCGTGCGTCCGTATGTGTGCGCGCGAAGGATCGAACAACAGTGGCACGATCGCTTCTACTCCAGGAAGCCCAACACGCAACAACGCAACCTGCTCAACGGCCACCAGCACAGGTCCCCACAAAACACACAATCAGGTACACACGCACACACTGGTACATTAGTAATCACGTGCATATACAAAATTGGTGCACTCCAGACGTTAGGCGCCCCAAACCCCAAGTGGCGCATTGCTAAGTCTTTGTTGCGCTTTCAGGTGAGCCGCCTGCTGCTGAAGGTCCACCAGAGAACGTTTTGGTGGATGCCGACACCGATGCGTTGTCCTTCCGTCTGTCCGGTGAGCATTGGAAGGTAAGCTAAAGGATAATAAGCTAGCACTTTCACAACGCTACCTTGACTTGGATTTGTGAGCAAGCGTGTTACTGAAACCACACGTGACTGAATTGCCAAAAACAAGAAAGCAAAAGCGCATAGTATTGAAAAAAAAAACGGACCTGCACTTGCCCAGCTGATCGAGCAACAGAAGTAGCTGTATGTTTGCCTTTAAGGGGCGTGGCCCAGTGTGTGCGTCAGCAATACGGTCAGCCTGCGAGTGAGCTTCTGGGTGGGAGTCGTGGCCTAGAGCAGCTCCATCTGAGTGTCTTTGTTTCGATTGTGGGTGGAATGTATGTGGATGTGTGCTAGTTTCACTACGTGTGTGCGAGTATGCGTTTGTGCTCGTGTCAGTTTTGCTCTCCGTGTGAAAGTGTCTTTGTTTTGCTGTGTGTGTGTGTGTGTGAACGCCTGGTTAGTTTTGCTATGTTTGAGTGGGTGTGAGGAATGTGTGTTTTTGTGTGTGACCCTTGCTGTGTGTGTGTGGACTGGGAAGCACAAAAAAAAAAAAAAAATCCAACAAGCAACGGCTCGCAAATTAAGGTAGATGATGGCAATTAAGAAAGACAACGCTGGTGTACTCAGGATTTCCCGAAGGATCTGGAGTGGAAGACGTTTTTGCTGGAGTGGCACGTAAGCGGCACCAAAATCCAGAAGCTTCCAGATTTCTTGGCGTCCTTCAGCTTGCTGAGAGTTTTGGAGGTGGCCAAGAACAAACTGGACCAGCTGCCCCCCGACATCGGTGAGGTCCGCCTCGGCCCGTCCACCCTCCGTCCGTCTCAAAATGCCCTCTCTGCCAGGAAAACTTGTCCAGTTGCGCCAACTCAACGTCAGCTACAACCGCCTGTCCTGCGTTCCCCCCCAGCTTGGGATGTGCCACAATCTGGAACGACTGGAACTGGCCGGAAACCGCGACCTCTCTGAGCTGCCTTTCGAGGTCACCGACATCCCTGCTGGTTGCGCTTGCTAGCACGTGTTGGCGTCACGTGTGTGTTTGCCGACGTGCTGCGGTGAAAACAGGCACACAACCAATGGGCTCGTTGGGCACATTAGCATGTGTTAGCGTTCATTAGCATACGTGCTGATATGTTAGCATATGTGCTGTGGTGAAAACAAGCACACAACAGTCCTGCTGGTTGGTCTCATTAGCATGTGTTAGCAAAGGGCTCACCAACATGCTAGCCGCAGGCACAAGTTAGCCCCAAGGGACCTCGTGAGTGACCGGCAGACCCCAAGCAGTTGCTTTCATTTTTAAAAAGGCTGGTGACCCTTGTCTTCGCATCTTTAACGTGTGCTACAATGAAAACAGCTATTAGCTCACCGCGTGAACGCGTGTGTCTGTTTGCCCGTTTGCAGCTGAGCTCTCTGAAACGTCTGACACACCTGGACATAGCGGAGAACGGCTTTGCATCAATACCCGTGTGCGCCCTCAGGATGAGCGCTCTGCAGCTCCTCGACCTCAGCGACAACCGACTCAGCGACCTGCCGCAGGACATGGACAGGTAGCGAGCTTGTTCCTGTGCGCGTGTGTTTTGGTTTCACTTTATGTGCGTATCCTTGTGTGCGCGTCAGGCTGACGGAGCTGGCGACCTTGTTCGTGCACAACAACAATCTTTCGTATCTTCCTGACTGCCTCACCAACATCGCCACGCTCAAACTGATCGTCGTCAGCGGCGACCCGCTCGTTTGTGTACCCACGCAACTCTGCAGCAACCCGAACATCAAGTACATGCACGCATATAAATACATATTCAAAGACATGTACACACAGGAAGTGACGTGCGTCTGTGTTGTGTGTGCGTGTTGAGGTTCATTCGCCTGTACGACAGTCCGGCCAGTGGCAAGAAGGAAAAGAGGACGGATGTGATGAAAACGACAAGCCAAGGACAGGACGAAAAAGACGAGACAAAGGACGGCAGGGAGAAAGAATTCATGGACGTTTACGTCAGCACGCTCAAGGACAGAGGTCAGAGGTCACGTTCCACTACAAAAACTGACTTATTTGCGAGTGTCTTTATACTTTTATTACAAAGTGTCAATAATTGACTTCACTAGGAAGTGCCCGGTTTTATTTTCTCAGGTTTTTGAGGTGACTTATTTTGATGTCGCTGAGTCAACTTTTATTTTCAAGTGTCATGAAGGATTTTTTTTTCTCAGTCTTTGATTTTTAAGTACCCGTTTTTATTTTGAAATATTACGGGGGTTGAAATTTTAAACCACAACATTTCTAACACTTCAAAATTAGTAAGTTAATAATACTCCAAAAATCACAAGTTGACTTCATCCTTCAAAATAAAACTCTTAACATTTCAAATTAAAGTTCACGCTGCAAGAACTGAGTCGACTTCATAAAACTCTCAACACTCTCAAGTAACAAAAAACTTTCTTTTGAAGTCGTATCAAGTTAGCACACCAAAATAAAAGTCAAGTGAGCAATACTTCAAAATAAAACCCAACTCAATAACAGTTCCAAATATCACATGGCCAACTGAAATGCTGCCTTTGTCCCCTCCCCACCAAAAGAGAACATGCCCTTCTCCACCACCAAGGTGACCATTTCCTGTCTGCTGTGACCCCGCCCACTGGGAAGCGCCACCGCGAATATGCTCATGCTAACCCGGAATCTGATTGGTGGTCATCCATCATCCTGAAGACATCACTGTGGTTTGATCATTTTTATTCTTGGGAGTCAGAATCTCTTCTTCATTAATTTCCTTTATTTTGGAAACCAAAAGATTTTTGGGGGGCGGGGTTTGTTCAGTAACTGGGAAAACTCATTCCCGAATGTGATTTCCAAAGCTTGCTGCCGAAAATGTCATATTTGGAAATGAGGGCTGCTAGTAAAAAAAAAAAAAACCTTCAAATATGAGCAATAAAATTCTTTCTTGTGCTTTTGTTTCTTTCAATTCGAATGAAATCATCAACAAGGCAAAACACTTTTCCATTCATCCAATTCAAAAAGCCAACTGCTCTCCAGTCAACATCAGGGCACCTATGGACAAACAACAGACTGGTCACCAATAAAAGTTGGACTTTTGGGGTTGGCGTCTTTTGCCAAAGGTCAAAAATATTTGATGATATGAGCAGGGAGCCGGTGGTCCCGTGTGGCCAGCATCTTTTTTTTTTTTCTTTTTTCTTTCAGTACACTAAAAACGTGCTGCCGGAACAGGAAATCGCTCCAGGAGGTTCTTTCAAATTAAAACTCATCAGTCATGTGACGTTTCCATGGAAACAGGAAGTTGCAGTCGCCAATGGTAATGACGATGCTTGGACCTCTCCGAAATTTAAAAAAAAAAAAAAAAAAGTCTGGAAAATAATTGGCACATTTTGCGAGCACCCGACGGGTCTCCGGACGCCGATAGGCCGAGGGCGGCCCGTCAATCACATGCTGCTGTCCTGTAAGAGTGGCTCGATGTCCTCGGCATCGCTGGGGGGCGTGACCACGGGGCCGGCGTCCTGAGCGGGCGCGGCGAGCACGCCCGCGCCGCCGGGCTTCCTGTCCGAGCACGTCTTGATGGCGGCGGCCGGCGGTCGCTCGTTGATGAAGGCGGCCACGATCAGCGCCAAGACGACGGCGCAGGCGCCAAACAGGAACGGGGGGCCGGGAACGCTCGACTTCTGCGGATGCACCAAAATGTTTGTATTTCTTCGTTTGACTTGATGTGTGAACACGTGCACGTCCCTGTGTGTGCGCTTTATCGTGTCGCGCATCCTATCATTGTGTGTATGTTGTGCACGTGTGTACCTTAATGTGTTGTGTGTCCCGTCCTTCTGCGGGCTGGACGTCGCTGAGCTCCACATTGAAGAGGAAGAAGATGAATCCGTACAGGGCGGGGCCCAACCCGTTACACAGACCCCGGATGCCTGTGATCATGCCCTGGACCACGCCTGCGTGCGTAGGCACACGCACACAAAGTTACAAACGCGCCCCCAGACACGCCCAATCCCCACTTCCTTGACAGACCTTGCTGGTCCGGGGCCGCGCTGTGCGAAACCAAGGCCGAGACTGCCGGGAAGGTGATGGAGGACATGGCGGCTACCGTGCCCGCCGCCCACATCATCCTGCATGGGGGAAAAAGCGGCACCGTGACATCCCCTTCGTTGTAACTCTCGGGTTGCCGAATGACGCCGCACCAGCAGCCCCCCCGGGATGACTCACCAGGGCTCGGCGCCAAAGGCGTACCAGGCCAGCTGCAGGAGCTGGAAGGTCAGACCCAGCAGGACCGTCTTCTTGTTACCCAACGTACGCATCAGCACGCTCAGGAGGAGCGTCTTCAAAACACACACATGCAACGGGCACGGCGCCCAATCAATTACAAAACCGCACGGAGACTTAAGAGTGCCTTGGAAAAGGATTGTGGAGTGCAGATTAAAAAAAAAAAAGTCAGCAATTGAAGTAAACTCCAATGGGCACACACGCAGGGGCACGAACAGACATGAATGCACAAACATGAACCAACGCAAACATACACACACACACCTGCGCAATGATGGACAGGATGCCCACCATGGCGATGAAGGCGGCAATGGCGGCGGGGGAAAAGTCAATGACCTGAAAGACAACAAGGTGCGTACTTGTTAGGTCAGGCGCGTCGTCGTCGTCGTGTAAACGGAATGCGTGTGCTTGCGTCTTGTGTTTTTCCACCTGTCTGAGGTAGAGGAAGAAGCTGGAGTACTGCCCGGCCTCCGGCAGGTACGACAGGAACACGGTGACGCAGATGAGCATTACGGTGGAGTCTTTGCCCACACGGCGCAGCGACTGGACAAACGACAACGCCGGCTAACCGTCAAAAGTCCCCGGAGCCGCCCGATTGCCCAACCCCCCACTCACGGAAAAGGGGTCCGCCTGCTCCCAGGAGAGCGGGAAGCCCCAGGTGGTCAGCCGCATCTTGTCAGGCAGCGACTCGGGCATCACGAAGAAGACGAAGGCGATGTCGGCCACCGAGATCACCGTGGCGACCAGGACCACCAGGCTGTCGCCGTAGCGCGCCGACAGGTACGCCCCGATGGCGGGGCTCGTCACCAGGCTGGCGGCGAACGTCGCCGACACCTGAGAATACACGCATGGGCGCGGGTGAGGGCGCGGTGATGGCGAGGGGGCGCGGCGGAAGCGTTACCAGGCCGTACGCCGTGCTCCTGCGCTGCTCATCCGTGATGTCGGCCACGTAGGCGAAGATGACGGAGAACGTCACGGCGAAGATTCCTGACACGGCGATCAGGGCAAAGTACCACCTGGGGACACGTGAGGACAACTCATCACACGGTACACTGTGTACGTGCATCACGGCATTTATGTGGGTAACGACATGATGTGCGTGAATTTTTTTTCACGTCATATGTATCTAAGATGATGTGAGGGATAACATTCAGTGGCTCTAAAAAGTCGACACACCCTTGTTGAAATGCCATGTGGGGGAAGTCAAAACAAGTGAGATAATGCTGTGGTTGCATAAGTGTGCACACCCTTTTATAACCCGCCAATTGAAACTGAAACAATTACATTTAAACTCCCATTAAATGGAAATCAGGACACACATGCCACCATTGAAAGTGCCTCTCATGAACACCACATATAGCCCAAAACGACTTTTTTTCTATCCTCGGTTTCGCTGGACCATCGCATCTTTCGCAACAAACAGCAAGCTTGGATGATTTTGTTATCGTATGTCTATTTAGATCCACTGTATTTTACGTGATCACATGTATGGAGATGCCACATTAATGAAGATATCTACGTACGCGATGACGAGTTGACGACATGCACAGACGTCATGATGTAAGCAAGGAGAGAGTTTTGACATTTGACATAAGGTCACATGACACAGATGCACCACATGATAACACATATGTGCATGATGAAAGTGGCGGAACCAGTGAACACTTCTCTGTTCCCTTGAGTGCAGCTGTGGATAAAAATTCCAAGCACGCGTTTCTTTTTCAGTTTTCCTGACGCTCGCTGAGGCTCAGACGCTCACATGATGCACACGTGACGGTCAAGTGTGAGCTCAGTTTGCCAGCCCTGTGTGCTCACCAGGGGCTGATCCTCATGAAGGGGATGGGCGCGCATGTGAAGAACACCGTCATCAGGAGGAAAAACTTCCTGCCCCAGATGTCAGACAGGGCACCGATCACGGGAGCCGACAGGAACGACAGGAAGCCCTAAGATACGTACAAACGCATTTGCACACAGTGACACACGCATGCATAAACAAGGGATGAAAAACACACAGGTACTTTATTCATCTGGACGTGAACGAACACACATTTGTTTGCGCGTATACACACACACAAATACACGTTTATGTTTGCACACGGGACGAGCACTCACCTTAACGCCTTGTATGAGTCCGTTCATGAGGAACGTGTGCTGCGGGAAGGTTTCGTGAAGAACCTGAAAGCACAGTGACAAAGGTAGTTAGCATCGTAGCCTAGCCGAGTTAACGCTGAGGCGAGTGGGCGTGTCTCTCACAGTCAGCATGGGTGTGGTCAGCAGACCCCAGGCGAAGAACTCCAGGAAGATGACGATGACGGCGTGCGTTACCCTTGCTCGGCCACGCGTTTGCTGCCACCAAACCAAAACAAAGAACACTGAAACATTGTCACTTCCTGTTCCATCAAAAACTACTTCCTGTTTATGTCCATCTCTCCCCTTTTCCATTTCATGACAGCCACGCCTTGCAATACCAGCGAGAGATTTTTCATCACGTCGTTTGTACGAGTTTTTATTCTTTGACTTCAGAGCAAGAATTCAAGATATAAGTTCTATCTAAAACCACCACACAACTCGGCCTTCTGCGAGTTTCATGCCAACGCACAGAACAACAAACGTCAGCAGACCCCAGGCGAAGAACTCCAGGAAGATGACGATGACGGCGTGCGTTACCCTTGCTCGGCCACGCGTTTGCTGCCACCAAACCAAAACAAAGAACACTGAAACATTGTCACTTCCTGTTCCATCAAAAACTACTTCCTGTTTATGTCCATCTCTCCCCTTTTCCATTTCATGACAGCCACGCCTTGCAATACCAGCGAGAGATTTTTCATCACGTCGTTTGTACGAGTTTTTATTCTTTGACTTCAGAGCAAGAATTCAAGATATAAGTTCTATCTAAAACCACCACACAACTCGGCCTTCTGCGAGTTTCATGCCAACGCACAGAACAACAAACAGGCTCGTGAAAAGGATAGGATTTTTTTTTTTTTAAACACAAATGGTGCTGCAACACGTGTACAGTGGACCTGGCCTGACCACAAATAGGAACAATCTGAATCAGCACAGTAAATTACCATTGTTGCCCCCCCCCCCCTTCCCCTAAAAAGCGTGAATAAACACTGGATTGTTTTTTTTAAGTGAATATGCAAGGTTTTGGCTAATAGGTTCCCCCAAATAATCCAGAAATATGCGAATCCTCAAACGATTAACTGCGAAATGACAGAGTTCATGACGACGTTCACATTTACCGTTAACTTCACCCCGCGCAACTTTGCAATGACGTCAGCGACGATGGATAAGGCAGGAAGTGATTTGTGCAGCTCGTTTGTTTACATTGTTGGCATCCCAAATGTGTCAAAGATGCTCGTCGTGTGACACGACGTTAGCACAGCTGCGGGAGATAATCTTCAAGAGATGACTTCGTGTCTTTTCCTGTAATCTTCTTAATTAGCTGCCATTGTTGCTGGCGCTCGGTGATGCTAACGTTAGCCGTTAGCCGCCGACGCTGAGCTAAATGGCTTACCGAGCTACGGACCAGCATGATGTCGATGTTGATGTGGTCAGCCTCGTCGGCAGCGGCCTCGCCCGCGATCATCTCACATGTTGGAGCATCACTGTCTCGGGGTGTCCGCCTTTCTTCCAGCGTGTCAGCTCGTCCCAAGTTTGGTGTGCCGCTACGTCAAGCGCTGCCCGGACTGACGGAATGAAACGTCACCTTTCGACACTTCGGCGTCTCGGAAGTGCGGTGCCAGTTGCCCCGCAAGACGCAGCTCGAGCTAATCACGGGTTGAGGCTTAGTGCCGACCACGCCAGGAAGACTCACGACAAACTTTCCTCGTGTGACTTAACAATTCAAGATGTTGCGTTCTCCCGTCCGTTGGCCAGCCAGATGTTATCCCGTCGTGTCATCGCGAGCAACAAAACGAACGCGTGTTTCAAAAGCGACGAGTCCTCCCCCTAGTTTCAAACTGTTCCCAGATCAGATGATGTTTGCATTCTAAGCGTTTGTGTCGCTAATCAAGCCAACAGATGGTTCTGACTTGGGGTCCGCTAATTTAGGTAATCGACAAGTTGTTACGCATGTGACTGCTTCCAGGGAAAGCTTCGCCCACCCTTACAATCACCCGAACGACGCCAATACTGTACGTCGACGCCCTGAAAGACACCCATGTTCCTAAACCCACATTATGAACCCAGCCTAACCTAGGTTAAAGCCCGACATGGAAACCCTAACCCTGGCTTCAAGCCTCAGTTCCAGACCTAACCAAGGTTTGAAACCCTAATTTGATGGCCCCAGGCTTCAAACTGTACTTTCAAATTGTAACCCGGGCTTCAAACCTTACTTTGAAACCTTCACCGAAGCTTGAAACTCTTAAATCTAACGTGGTTGATGTTTTGAGCTGCTACTTCTATGATCTTCTCTATCAGGGGTCACCCCCCCCCCCCCCCCCAAGGACCACGAGTCTCCGGTTGGGCTGTTCTTAAAATAGCTACAAAGTGATGGAACAAAATGATGATTTTGTAGAGCATTATTGTCGAACTGACCAATTGAAAATGTGAGATCTGAAGAAATCTCAGAGCTCGACTCAAGGAAAGAAATTAAGATTAAGCAGTGTACAAATAACAAAAAAGAGTGCTTGATAACCGACTGTGCTGTCATTCATGAAAATACCAGAAAATATCATCGTAAATATGCAAGTAACCATAGCAACCAAGGGGCAGGAGGTTACCAGCTTACCAAAATGATCCATCACGATAACCATCGTCAACTTGTACACAAGCGAGGTAAAAAAGGTGTGGAATTAAGTTATAATCCATATTTTAAATCGTTCCACCTCAATTTTATTACAATTTTGTAATAAAGAGCAACTCGAGTAGAGCGAGGCAAAAAATTATTAAGACCATGTTTTGAGTGTCTAAACGTATGCCTGTTTTAATTTTTGATTGCGCACGTTAAACCAAGTCTTTTAAATGAGATTATAAAAATTAACAGAGTTACTCAAAATAAAATATTAACTTCCTACTGAGAATAATATCAAAATTTCCCACATTTACCATAAAACTGCTTGATTTTCAAAAAGGCATGATAGTAAGCAACTTGTCCCTTTGGGGTCCTCTCTGCTTTGTAGGCGCTTGAACGGAGCCTTACACAAAACAACAACAACTAAAAAGCGATAGTTTATTTTTACGGTGTTCTTTTGTTTACATTCAAACACCCAGGTGGTTAAAGTAGCAATTTTCCATGGCTTCTACCGCCGCATTGCTTTCGACCGCGGTGGATTACTACAATGATGAAGAGGAGCTCGACAGCGTGGACGACGACGACGAGCGCAGCTTTCGAGGGAGAGACTCAGAAGAAGGTAAGAAAGAAAACTGACTGACACACTCGAAGGAAATCAAAGAACAGCAACAACATGGCTTCTGTCTTGCTTGCGAGGGTGACTTTTATTTCAATTGCTGGTCTAGTCGCGCGTTTCAACTCTGATTATGGCTTTCGGTAAAGACGATGATGTGTTTGAAAATGCATACTTCGGGGCTGATGACTGTCGTGATGTATCGCGATTGGCTGGCTCGTACTAACAGTCTGGTGTATATTTGATTTGGAGGCGTACTAATTGTGGTGATGAGGTTGAAACTCATTTCAACATAGTGATCGAGTCGATCTCGACTAGGCTAAAATGGCGAATGCTGCTACATAACATCACGTCCACTTGTCTTGTTTTAAATCAATTTTTTTTTAAATGACACGTTTTTTTTTCATAACGACGCCTTTAGACGATTGCGCATGTATTCGGCCAAACTAAAGTAGACGTTAGCGGTTAGCATGAACAGGACCAGCCAGTAGAGCAGACCCCCCCCACCCCCCCAACCTTATAGCACTCATTCATTCCAAAGAGACGCGACGACATTACGGTGAATGGCGAATAAAACAGCCGGGACGACGACGACAAGGACGATGACCGACAACCCAGGTTCGCTGTCAGAACTTCGCACACACACTTTGGTTTTGGTTTTGTTTTGGATGGTGTGTCTCGTGTCGCTTCCCGAACCTCTTTCCGTGTTGAAATTATGCCCCTCACCCCCCTCGTCCTTAAAACAGCTGACCGAGCTAACTTGAGCTAGCACTCGCATCGTGCTACCTTCTTGAATAGATCAAAATGTCATGAAAAACCAAAGCTGCTGTGCCCTGTGTCGGTTCCCCGAACTTCATTGAACCCGGCTGGCTTCCCTTGACCGACGAAGAAGAAAAAGAAAAAGCCGTGGCAGTGGCCAAGTTAGTTAGCCAGTCGACCGGCCTCATCATGCGGCAAAAAAAAAAAACTATTAGCTTCCTTGTCACTTGCCCTTTCAAATGACTGTCGAACCGAGACTAATCCCCAAGTTTAGTGACTGGATCTAGACGAGGGTTCACCCGCCTCCTGTGTGGATTCAAGTGCCTCGCACAAGCCGTGTAAGCAATCATGGCACTACAATATGCTGCGCTAAGGTAGACACCTTTATGCGATACATTTTTATAGATTATAGCACTTTCACAACAGCTGCAACAAAGTGCTTGACAGAACATTTAACATGAAATAAATTAGGAAAATTAGCGTTGGAAGAAGTAGAAAATATGAACCATCGTGAAGGGTCAGCGAAGCATCGTAGGTCGGCCCCGACCAATCTAGATGTTTTGATGCCAATTCTGATATTTAGCAGAATAAAATTTCGATCACCGATTAATCGTGCGATTAATTCCAACTGATTTCATGGTTTGACTGGAGCATTGACCTTCCGCCAATAGAGGGCGCTAAGAGACTGCGGAACGGTCATAAGGATGTGTTGACTTCACTGGAAGCATGAACCATCTGCTGTGACACGATGCCGGCCTACGAAGCTTCGGGACAAAAATCCCGTTTCCATCAAATGAGTTTAATAGTTCCTGCAAGCTGCATTCAATCGATGTTTCCTCTTCCTCTCCTCTTGTTGATGTCCGTCACAGATACGGAGGACGCCAGCGAAACAGACCTCGCCAAGCACGACGAAGACGACTATGTGGAAATCAAAGAGCAGTACGTCCTGAGCTGACACTCCTTGCCAGGTGTTTGTCTCGGACACGCTGGTGGTTGTCACCTGCTCTGAGTGCGTGTGCATGCTTGTGTGTGTTCTTCACAGAATGTACCAGGACAAGCTGGCCTCTCTGAAAAGACAGCTACAGCAGTTACAAGAAGGTGCCACTGTGCTAAGTTTGTCCGGGCTGTGCTCAATGCTGACCGCTAACCAAAGTCGACAAAACAACTGTTTCGTTTTTCAACATCCGCGCTGGTTTCGCAGGCACGCTGCAGGAGTATCAGAAGAGAATGAAGAAGTTAGATCAGCAATACAAAGAGAGGCTGCGCAATGCAGGTGAGCGACGTTACTAGGAAGGCCGAATCGCCGATTCTTGTCGTCGTCGCTTTGAAGTCTACTACAGAGCCTCCCCAATCAGAAAAGAAAGTCACTGATTCTGATACCAATTACCGATACCACCAGCCCTTTTGATACATACAATTTCCCACGCAAAACAACAATGACAAGATAATTTCCCAATATAACAATTTTCCTCAATCGTGCATGAAATTAATGGCAATGTGATATATTTCTAATTTCTAGTTCCTGATCGTAACACGGCCGATAGTAGTCTCGTTGTCATCACGAGTACGATACCTTGAAATAAGGCTGGTATGATACCTGATATCGGTACTCGTCCATCCATAAAGAACATTCTCTGAGGTTTTTGACTCTTAGAAAACGTTTTACTTATTGTCTGCTACTTTTTATTTCTTCCAAATTTACATTGAATAGTCAATTGGCAACTTTACAGATATATTTTTTGTATTGAAAATCTTTATTTTTTTTTTCCTCAAAAGTAGATGGCTTTATTCTTGTCAGGTCATGACGCTGTGCACATATGAAGCAAAAATTATACTAATAGCAATAATAAAAATAATAATGCTGCCGTGTGTCGTTTGCAGATCTCTTTCTCCAGCTCGAGGTGAGTGAGCCCGCGAACGGTCAAACGTCCTTTGACCTTTGCGCTCGGTCGTGACCCGTATGGCGCGCGCCCTTCAGACGGAACAGGTGGAGAGGAACTACGTCAAAGAGAAGAAGGCGGCGGTGAAGGAGTTTGACGACAAGAAGGTGGAGCTGAAGGAGAACCTCATCGCCGAGCTGGAGGAGAAGAAGAAGATGATCGAGAACGAGAAGTTAACCATGGAGCTCACGGGCGGTAAGAGCCAACGCCGTTTGCGGCCGGGAGATTTTGCGTATCGCTCCATGTGGACTTCTTCTTCTTTTTTGTTTCAGATTCCATGGAGGTCAAGCCCATCATGACCCGCAAGCTGAGGAGAAGACCCAACGACCCGGTGCCGATTCCGGACAAGAGACGAAAGCCGGCGCCTGATATCCTTTCCGTCAAGGCTCGTCAACCTTTTCTTGACACGGAGAGCGACTTTCTTTGGGTGCTGATAAATCCACAATTTCCCCATCGCTGGTGGTCATTGATTTTTTTTAAATTGCCCACCAAAACATCGCCGTTATTTAGCGGCGAGATACGCCTAAGTAACGTCGCTGTTTCCATTTCTTGTAGGGTGTGGCATTCATTTCTTCAGCTTGACCTTAACTCTTCACACCGCAGCTCAATTACTTGCTAACAGACGACCAGATCATGGAAGATCTCCGAACATTAAATAAGGTAAATCATCGTGGGGGGGGGACAAATACAATAACATACGAACCCATCTGAGCCCTTTTGTGTTCACTCAACGTCTCGCCGTCATTTTGTCTTCTTGCAGCTCAAGTCGCCGAAACGAGCAGGTACGACCCAACCCACGCAAGCACACGCTTTTAATTTCGGAAGATATTTGGCAGTTTTCATTTTCAAATAAAATATTTTGAAGTAGCTTACACTCCAAATACACCCCAAGCTACGATGCCAATTTCCTGTTGATGCCACAAGATGGTGACAAAGTGCTACTTTTCCATTAGACAGGGCTATGGCATGACTATGTGAAGCTCTTCCCCTCATGCCAACATAGTTCTTAGGTACCGTGATGCTACAAGAATGCACCCAAGCACTAGCCCCTCGATTCAACGTCCTTGGCACCAAGATGCTGTTTAGACTCCACACAGGGTGGGGGTGGGGGTGGGGGGTACTCCTGCGTGGTCATTGCTGCATATTGCCCCTTGAAAAATGTCTCTCTCTCTCTCTTTCCCGCCCTCCTCCCGCAGTGTCGCCGTCGTCTCCGGAGCACGTGCCCTCGGCGCCCATGGAGTACCCCGTGCAGCGCTTCGAGGCCCGCATCGAGGACGGCAAGCTCTACTATGACAAAAGATGGTTAGTCTGCCGCACCGCCGTAACGTTTCCCCGGAGGCTCTTAGGCCGCTCACAAAAAAGTTTCGGATCTCACGCTCGTCACTTTTAACGGGGATTTGATGTACTACAGAGCAGCGGCGTCCAACCAGCCGCTTCAAAGCCACAGGTGGCTCTTTCCTCCTTCCACTGAGGCTTTCTTCTAATGTTTGTTCATTTTTCAAACGTAATTCAAAGTTTTAAGATGACGCTTAAAAATGCTTTCCATCCCTCGGCAACCAAAATACGCCTTACAAGTGCCGCTGTGCGACACCGGGCTCGTGAATTGCGCGGTTCAGCTCCTTGTTACACAACAGCAAGTGAGTTGTGCACAAAGGAGGCAATTGGCAGCATCTTCCCAAGTTGCCTGTTGAGGGGAGAGCAGACACGATCCAAAACATCCTTTCCAAGTTCCAGACTTTCAACATGAAAACACGCGCTAGAACGACACGCTGTCAGCCCACTTTCTGGACCTATTCACGTTTCACACTCAATCAGCAAACAAAAATATTGTCGATGTCCCGACACAAACTGCCCAAAAGTTCCAAGTGTCGGCCATTTGATAAAGAAGGCGAGCGACCGCGATATGATTGAAGAATTTGGAAAACTCCTCTGCGGCTGATACGGCAAGGATGTCCTCACCGTGTTTGCCATTCAACAGTCTTCACGAAAAGGTAAAAGTGAATCGAAATGTTCACGTGTCCGCTTCGTTCGTGGTTGATCTCTTTCGCTCTGTTTTTCCACGTCAAGCTAACGTTACTCTCGTTTCGATTGTCGTTGCATTTACGGGATTTCTTGTGGGAACCATTGCTTGGGGGTTTTCAATCATGTATAACTCTCGATAGGACACTTTCCCGAAAAGAAATAATTTGCCAGGTGATGTGTTCTAGATGCCTTTCAATTTGTTCCTGTTTGAGTTGTGTTTTTTTTTTCGCACTTTGTTCTTGAAACGAACCAGGAACCGTTGTAAATTCCGATTTTGGCCACCACAATATACGTTTATGTGCTGTCTAAGTTTCGTCCGGAAATTATGTTGCGAACTTGCATCATAACTTGATTCACCAGCTAACTGTTGTGCGAAACGAGCGCGGTTTTGCGTCATTTTCGAGCCGTTTGTGCGATTTGGAAATGTCCTCTTTGGTGCTGCTTATTCTCACCACTAGATGGCAGCATTGCATCGTCCACGGCAGCCACTCTTGGATTCCAAAATTTGAGCGATTTAACTCTTTAAGGGACCGCGATTACTCCAGCGGACAGCTTATCATGTTATCAGGTGCATGAAAGGGTTAAAAAAAAAGTCGTTCATGTATATGTGTAACTTCAAAGCCTTGCGTGCGTTGACACGATTGTGCCAAGACTGCTCTTCCGAGAAAAGGTTTCCTGCATATGTGGATTTATTTTTGTGGGTATGATCAAATGTTTTGCTTGCCTCTGACAGTTTGAGGTTAGACAACAAGAGAGAGATCAATAACACTTTGCCTTCTATTCATCTTCAGCGCAGGAGGGATTTACAATTATCTCCCAAGTCTTTGTTCACTGTAGCGGCGCTTCCATTTTTTTTTTTTTTTTCCAATTCAAGAGTCTCCCGGTGTCTTCATTTTAAACAGACAAGGCATGCTTTATTCCACTTGTCACCCTATTCCAAAAGTGATTCTATTATTTTTTTTTTCCCCCTCATAATGACAATGTGAACGCCAGGGAGAAAGGATGTGCCTCCTTGATGCGTATATGTGTCTGGATTCCGGTTGACGCATATCAACGTCCATGACACCTCATGAGTTTAAAGCCTTTGTGTGTGTGTGTGTGTGTGTGTGTGTGTTTTATTGTTTTGTTTTTTTTGTTTTCCCCCCTCAGGTACCACAAGAGCCAGGCCATCTATCTGGAGTCCAAAGACAACACCAAGATCAGTTGTGTCATCAGCTCGGTGGCCACCAACGAGGTGGGCGCTCTTTCCCGAGACCCAATCAGACAGAATGTTGTTTTTTTGTTGTTGTTTTTCTAGCCTTTGCTTACACCTTTTTTGTTGTTGTTGTTGTTGTTGTTGTGTAGATTTGGGTGAGGAAGACCAGCGACAGCACAAAGATGAGGATCTATCTGGGACAGCTGCAAAGGGGAGCCTTCGTCATCCGGCGGCGGTCGGCAGCGTGAACCCCCCCCAACCAAAAGTGTAAATTGTAAATTCATCCAAATGTTCATTATGTTTGTTTCGGCAGTTTTGTCAGATTTGATTCCTTTTCATAAATAAATCCGATCAAGTGTTTTTTTAACTCAGTCTTTGGTAATTCTTTTTTTTTTTTTACTTTAAAGGGATACTTGACTAATCTTGCAATTTTCACCCCAAAAATGTTTTTTTTCCTATAACGAATTTGATCCTACCATTGCTTTTCATGTACAATAACCAACCTTTAAAACCGTATTTTGCCTCTTGTCAGTCGACACCAAGTGGCAAAATATATTTTTAAAGATGTGAATTGTACATGAAAAATAATGACGGTATCAAATTCAGTCGCCTTTGGGGGCTAAATTCTTTTAAAAAATTATTTCGGGTCGTACTGACCCAAAAATGGTCACTTCAAACCCATACATGGCAATTTTCCGCGGATCCGCGGAAATCCGCCGTTTTATTTCTTAAATTGATCATTTTTGTGAATCGTCTAAATCCGTTGAGAAAATTTTAGGGGCGGTCAGGTACCTTATCGTCGAGTTTTCACGAGCTCTCCCGAACAGTCTCTCCGTTTTCCGTTTGTAAACAGCCCTGCGATTGGACGTGTATGAAAGCTTCAACTAATCAGATCACTGAAGGCATTATTTGTTGCGGAAGTCTTAGCTCGATTATAAACGGCCCAGCGATTGGTTAACTACAAGCGATTGGACCAATCAAATTGCATGTAACATATTGTTTTACCTGATTCATGGCGGCCTGTTCGTCTCGCAAATTCATTGTTCTGGGATCGTTTTGAGCGGAATTATGAAATTTTTGACGAAAGATCAGGAGTCTTAAATCCTAGAAATTGACTCAAATGTCAAGAATAAATT